GCTGGGGAATTCTGGGAGTTGAAGTCCACCCATCTTAAAGTTGCCACGGTTGAGAAACACTAGTCTACAGACTTGGCCACAGTCTTCAGTGTTGTTTTCCAGCTTCTGTGTAACCTGTGCCTTTTATATATTATACTTTGTATATTTTACGTTTGTATATTTTATACAAATATACTAAGCACGATGGCAAAACTTGATAAAAGGGAGCACCGACTGATTATAAAAATAATAAAGGTGGGATAAAAAATCTAAAAAAAAAAAAAGCGCTGGTGATGGAGGAAGGCAACCTCTCCGAGCAGATTATAAGGGAGAAACACTTCCCCAGACCCGAGTTACACAAATGAAAAGTGGTAAGCGCACGCAAGGCAAGCTGAAAATAGCTGTCAAATTAAATCGGTACTGCCAAGGGCTACTTGCTGTTGCAGACTGAGCCCTTACAAATCATGCACTGAAAATGACAGGGTGATCACTCTTCATTCAGCTCTGGCAGCATCACAGCTTCATGGGGTTTATTAAGCAAACTGTAAACCAGCGACAAGGCAGGCTGGTTGCAAATTTCTTTTGCTCACGGATACAAGGGGGAGGGATGAGAATTATGGAGATGTGTTGGACCTGCAAATCTTGCACATATTCAATTCACAAACTGTGTTTTCTTTCCTTCGCCGGTGCACAAGCTAGGGGCCTGCAGAAGATTCAAAAGGAACCTTTGCACCGCATTGCCCTGAACAAGGTGTCCTCTTCCAAAACATTCCAACAGCTTGCGCTCCAGCAAGCCCAGGGTGGCTCTTCTAAAGGTTTTCCTGTTGCCTGGACACGTGCGCATCCACAACCCGTTCATTTCATGCAGACAATGAGAAAAGCTTTCAAAGCAATCACGTCGACTTTCCCGGAAGACACAGCTGCTTTCAAGCACCAAGAAGGTTCCCACTCATGTGCTTTATGAAGCGCTCCTTTCAAAGGCGTTGCATAACTCTACTGAAAACTGCCAGTTTGAAGAAGAAATACCGGCTAGGGAACATTGACAGCGGTAATACACAACTGTACTGGCTACCATCAAAATAACATAAAGGTTCTTCTGTAGCAATAAAGGGACTCCACGCTTAAGCTTTCCCAGTGATGGGTTCCTCACCTCTGGAAGAGTCTACCTCCATATATTTAGACTATCCCTCTCTCTATGGTATTTTTGAAGACCTGTGAAAACATGGCACTTCAGAGGGCATTTGGGGATGCTTGGAGATTCTACTGCCCAAAGGCCGACATATATGGCCTTCTTCTTGTCCTACTGATTTTCCACATTTTAATTTTATGTTCTTATTATATAAGCTCCTTATAGCCTTTAGAATTTACTTACCTGTTAAAGCAAACATAAGCCAAATAAATAAATAAATAACCAAATAACCTCTCCATAGTCCTACAACTTCTGAATTTTCTGCAACAAAAATACAACTGTGAGTGCCTTAAGATGATTGCTTCCTCCCATTCCAATGTTACAACTGAACACTATTGTAGAAAAGCCTGCATAACTAATCAATTTTATCTAGAACAGATAAATCATCCTGAGAATTAAAGAAATAAAAAAGATGCTGGACTTAAGAGGCACATGTTTCTAAACTGGCTCTTCAAAGAGCTGGCAAGATCTTAATGCAACATTCCACCCACAGGAACTAGGTGGGCTTCTTAGGAGTTTTGCTACATACAAGGGTATATTATACACACTCAAGAAATAGTAGTGCACAGTATTCAGATCCAAAGCGGGCAAGAGTGTTTTAGATGCAAATACTGCACACCCCAATAAGGAGATTACAACTGTGGTTATGCTAGCAAGTGCACACAATTCTTCTTCAGCCACATGTGGTGACAACAACATAATACTGACACGTGTACAACAGATGTCAATATACTTGCTCTGCACACAAAACCATTTCTTCACGTCAGACATTGGCTTAGAGATACCCATGTTTAAATTCAGGGAAAACAGAATTGTGCATATGACTCTTAGTGCCAACGCCGCCTAAAAAGAACTGAAGTTCCAGCTGGATTCCATGCTTCGTGGGACACCCAGCAGAAAACATGGGTGCTTTTCAAGTGCAGAGTTAAAACAATACCAACCATAAACTGCCTTCAAAGGTATTCTACTTGGGCACAAGTATTTCAGGGGAACTTGCATTTCCTCCCAATAAGAAAGCAAGCTCCCAGGATCAATCTCTGACCCTTCCACACAGTGCTGAGAAAGATCCCAATCAGATATAGACAAGAGCATGATAGACCTGGGTCTGACTCTGTATAAAACAGGTTTCTCGGTTGGATCATCACAATCACCTGAAACATCCATACACATGGGAAGCTGATGGTGAAGCATTCAAAGAGTAGTGCACCCTTCATACCTGTGAGTCTGAGCAAACAAAGCCTGCACTGCAGTGTCTGCCAAATCCAAATTGGACATTTATTATAGCATTGGAAAAGGGGGGGGGGAGCCCTACATTCTTGGTGAAGAATTATTTTGGTGTAATTAATGCTGTTGTTTTGCTCCCCCCCCCACTTCTTTTTTTTTCTGGTGCCTTCAAATCAGTCTTGACTTCTGGCAGCTGCTTGGACAAGTGCCTGCAGTTACCTTGGTGATACTCTCAGAAACGGTTTGCTCTGCCTGCTTCTTCCTAGGGTTGAGAGAGGGGGACTGGCCCAAAGCCACCCAGCTGGCTTTGCCCAAAAGGCAGGACTAGAACTCAGGTTTCCCAGGCTCTAGCCTGGTGCCTTTAATCTTGACATCAAACTGGCTCTAGACCCTGGTAGAAAATGGTGCTGTTTTATGTGCCAGTAATTCTGCTTACAGTGGATTCTTCTATTTCCAAAATAATTTACTTAAAACCGTTTTTTGTTGCTTTCCATTATTTTAATGTAGAGAGTTATTCCCTCTTCTA